TCGGTCGTGGACAGAATGCATGGGAAACGTTGAAGAAGGCCTTCTTTCAGGCATATACCCCATGATAAATGAACAGTGCCAAGGGAAAAGCCTGGAAAACCATGAATACGACCCGAAATTGCAGACGCTATGGGGTTTTTCTCAAAAGGCTTTGATTGTGCTGAATTGAAGCAGGAAGGATAAATGTTGAAGCATGCGAGTCGATCATTTTCATCTAAGGATGCGCCGCACCTTCCACTTAGTTCAAGAATCGCAGTCTTAATTCAATGCGATTCGGAAAATAAAATATTCTGCGGGGCTAGATGATTTACAAGTCAGTTGTCGCAATCCCAGACAAGTCTAGTACCAACCAAACGACCCGGGTGGAAGTCATCGTTGACCTGAATGGCGTTTGGCAACCAGGACTTCTACCCGATGATGCGGCGCGGTAGGTAGCGTACTTGGAAGTATAGCACAACCCTTTTGGCGTTTCTGCTGGGGGCCGTATACTCAATGTTGTGGAGGGGATTGGGATCCCGGGCGGTCGACGCATTACCTCAACTCGGTCCTTAGAACCGCCTCAATTTGATGCTTACCTCAAGATTAAGCCTTGGGGAGAGGAAGGAGCCTTTTGAGTCCTGCGGGACCTACTTCACTAGTTTTCGTTATCGCTGTCCTTCCGTACATACCGAGCTGAAGTAGTCCGTCGACCTCGGGGACCCAATCCCTCCCCAACATTCACCATACGGTGTCAGCAGAAACTCTAAAAGGGCTGGTTTGCTTACCTTGGCTGCTTGCCCCGAAGCATAAGCACTTACTCCACAATTTAAGCTTTATATCTGTAACTACGAGACGTTAATCCTTATACTGTTTTGAATAGCTGCGAGCACTCCCAATGTTCCTCATAGAAAGGTCCGTAGAACTAAGACCAAGAACAAGAACTAGCAACAAAAAGGCCATGTTGGGCCCCTTACTAAAAGACAAAGGCCTAAGGGTGTGACCACGAAAAACGCAGTGCTAACTTTATATAGGCTTTGGAATCTTCACTTGCCTCGTATATTGTGTTGAACATAACACAACGCAAGGGAGGTTACGCCAACTGACGATGAGTTAGTCGATTCTGTGGTTTCCAATATAAAAGATATCAATAGGAAATCTACCAACTGGTGTTGTTTTATAGAGGCAAACAGGACGAAAATAAACAAACAACGCTTAATTAAACCCTCTGGACACACATTGCGCCAAGCACTGAATGGTAGCCTCAGTCAGGAAATGACCGTGACTATTTCACCTCATTGTTCATAAGTTTCCTTCCGGATCAAGCTAAGAGAGATAGTACAAATCCACCAGGCTGTTTCATCTTTTCTCAACTCATCGTAATAAATTATTAAATCAATCAAAAAAGAAAAATAGAAAAAGACAGTCCTAGATCCGATAAATTTCGAAAAGGCGGATTTTTGCACTCATCTTTGACTAGCTTGTAAAAAAACCGACACTCCATGAGGTCCTTCAGATCAGGATCAACAGATCCCAGCTACCAAAGCATCTTTCTATTCATTTCCCTCTTTCGAAAAAAAAACGAAATCTGCGAAAAAATGTCAAGTGAACATGAGAATTGTTAGACAGGCGACATGCGGGAGACTTCGGCACGACCTCCATCAAGTCGTTCAGGCACGGCCGATCGACCTCTTTTCGGCGCAGCATCGACTTGCCTCAAACATATACATTACGATCCGCAGTGAACTGCGGTATCGAACAATCAGACTGGACGTTTCGCCGACTTCGCATGGAGTCCACTTCAGAATTCAAAAATAAAGCAATTTTTTATGCGCCACACATTCGAATTTAGTTCTAACTTAAAGATGTATTTTGATGCGGGTTAGGCCAAGAATAAGGCTGGTGATGAGTGACCGATGTGCTGCCGACCCTTTCACTTTCTCTAACATTTTCAAAGGTTCAGATAAAAAGATGAAGGGTTTGCCTACTGAGAATGCGATACGTACACGCTGACAAGGGAGGCCTTTCAGGGTGTGGAGCGCTTTTTCAAAACGGTTTTTGCATGCTGTAGGGGCTTTCACGTGGACTACAAAATCTAGGCTCATTTTCACTGGGACCAAAAAAGGATGGGTACCCGTCAGGAGGCCCGTCGCGCGGCACAAGGCAGAGTCAGCGGACGAGTCGCAGCGCGTACTGTAGTGATTTCGCGTCAAGTTAAATAGAATGTACCATTGTACGTCCTACATCGCACATCACGCGCTGCGACTCGTCCGCTGACTCTGCCTTCTTGCCGCGCGACGGGCCTCCTGTCGGGTACCCAAAAAGGATACTAAACTCGGTCCTGGTAATGAATGTGAAACCTTCTATTAGCATTGGCGCTATCTGGGGCAAATGTGGAAGCTCCAATTTGAAATGCAAAAATTTAGTCATCATCGGGAATTGAACCATGGACCATTTCTTCCCCACCTTTCACCCTTTGCGAGGTTCTTCGCAAAAATGGGCCACGGCTTTGCAGTCCAGTATAATATGACTTATATTTTCATCAAGGGATTGATGTAAGACGGTGTAGACATCACCACGTTTATTGCAAAGCAACAGTCGAGGTGAGAAAGCATGTGGAAAGCACGCAACAGCAATCCACTCGCTTTTCGGCCGCAGGCTCATTTCCGAGAGCCTCTCCATTACGGAAAGAGCAATAACGAGGGGAAAAGCTTCTGGAAACTGCAGAGACTACTTCGTTTTGTTGTGGGAAACTGCCCTGAAAATATCCTTCGCAACTAGCAACGCACGGATAAAAACTGGAAACCGCGGATGGACTACGATCCGAACTGCCACAACGCGCTGATCAAATCGCTTATGGAAATTGAGCGGATGTCGAATTTACGGAAGCGAGACGGCGGTGCCAAGGTGAAAATAAATGTCCGCTAAATGCGCTGATGGGCTTTTCGGTCAAATCCGAACAGTACTAATGGAGTATTTTATACCTCTAGGCCTTTCCCCATTCGTTGTTGATTTTTAAGTCTACTCCAACAAATTTGTATCATAAATTTCCCGGAATAGCCATAGTCGGAAGAAAAACAAGAAACTGAAGGGCAAACTGGTGTGATTAAATTGGGGTTCGTAGGGGACATATATTCGCAATGAAGGGAGAAGGCTCCTATGGGAGCGGCACGGGACGCGTTTTCACTTTGAAGGACGTGCTTTGTAACTCCATAATAGGATCCATCCCCGTGGCAGGATTGCCTACATGGCGGCTCTGCCACTGTCATCCATGCCGGTACCTGTCGTCGGACTCTTGCTGCACTCGCAGAGGAGTAAGAGCAGACTTCATGTTGACGAAGTCAGCATCAGCTTTGTTCCAATGGCGGGAACGAGGGTGCCGTTTTGAGGGATTCACGCTGCTTCCTTTAGTTTCTTCACTATTGCAGCCTTTAATAGCTCTACTTTCATGCTCACAGGGTCGACCAATATATCGTGCCATCTAATATTACTCTTTACGATACCCTAGTCAACTCTACACCGGGCCAATGAGCCCTTTGACGGCTAAGGAAGCCGTCAAAGGCCCACTGGGCCGGTGAAGAGGTGACTAGGGGTGTCGCAAAAGCAGTAACATTAGACGTTGTACAGCATAACGACTAACGCGTCTACATCAGTCAACAGGGGATTCGTGCTAGTCTCGCAGGCCCTGCAGTTAATCCGAGTTTTGCACAGAGGAACGGAAACTTCCAGAGCAGGTGAACACTTCCGGTATGTTCACTTCCGTCCAAACCTTTATTATGAAAGAGGTGTTCAGCGGGTTTGGAAGCTTGAGAGCTCTGCCTAAAAATCCCCCCTAACTAAAGTAAGACACAAAGAATTTCTCGATAGCTCCATTGATGGCAGAGAAGGCAACGATTGAAAGCCCTTGAAAAGGCGAAATGTTGGCGCAAATTAATGAATACCGTCAAAGAGGGTTATTGTAGAAAAAGAAAACGGGTCGACAGCCTCCTTGCAAAGACTCATCATCGATCCTGCGCCAACAATTGTGCCCGCTAAGGACGTTAGGACGGCTAGTGCCAAAAAAATGGTTCTTCAGTAGTTTGGACTCAAACGTACCCTCTCCATGGGAACCAAGGTCGAAGAATGGTTACTAAGCAATGATCAACCTTTCGAGGTTCAGTTATCTCAGCGTTGTCCTACCGTCACTGTACCACATCATACTTCCCACCGCTCGAAACAACAATGCAACGAAATCTAGTCGATAAGAGGTGAACCGAATTGGGATACAATGTCAACCCCCGACTGGGCGTACCAACACAACTTAACCTCCGGCTCCCTGGTCCTTCTCACAATCCACTCGGCTCCATTCTACTGGAACAACCTCTTCATTTCCTCAAAAAAAATGTCCATCAAGCGAAGAGAGTGTCAGCAAGTTGATGGAGTTTTCGAGAAATCCTTACACCCTTAAGTGCTCTGCCTCTTCCGTGCCATATTGTCCTCGGTGAAACCTCTGACCACATACTAGTCCTGCGATAACCACCGCTCCTTTCAGAACCGCGGAAAAAACGGGGATCAATCAATCTAGAGAAAACTTGGGCGTAGGTGATTCAGCCGCAAGCCTTCCAGGAAAATCGACCTCGTGCCGCTTTAGTGTTCAAATGATGGTTTGGAGACGCTGCAGAGTCGTAACATTTGTCACCTACTTTACGCAATTCTTAAACCAGCGACCTGCATGGACTTCGTCACATGCACTGCCTTTCTGTGGATATGTTCCTGCTATCATCAAATGTATGGGGTTCATGGAGAGCTCGATAAAATGAAGCATTGCCACTTTCTTTATCATATTAAAATATAGCCCTTTCAAGCTTACAAAACAAATAACAACTGCAACAACGTAGATGCGATAACATAACAATGTAACATTTGAAAACAGTAACAACAAAAATTATTATATGGAAAATTTGTGGAACAAGCATACCCGTATGATAGGGTGAATGAATAACGAGTAACAAATTGTAAAGAGCAAATAAATCAGATTAACGGCATTACTGACGCCACAACTTAAGCACCTTATCTTTGCCACCGCTAACAACTTTTGTCCCTTCGGGACTCCAATCGACCGTATACACTTCATCGCCGTGACCTGGCAAGTCGAAATGCAGCCGCCTACTGCGAATTTCCCATACCTAAAGTAAGATCATAACGAGAATATCCAACGAGATGGGGGAAAACAGAAAATTTGAACAAATGCAATTCGTGCAAAGCAAAGATTCTGGAAACGTCAAATTTTACAAAAACTTGTTTTGTTACTACAGTTTTTTTCTGGACTACGCTTCATGCTCAACTACCTTCTAAAGTGACAATAAATAGGCCCACTCAGTCAATTGCCAAAATATGGGGAAATGATATATCAATGCACGTGGAGGTGAAGGATTCGAATTGCGCATCCCTTAGTTTACATGGCTAGACTGAGTAAAAAAATGAAAAGTAAAGCATAATAAAATATTGAAAATAAACAACCACCAACCTTGAGGGTAGAATCAGCGATCCAGAGACTAACAGTCGGCTATCCGCTGACCATGCTACTTGATATACGGCATTTACGTGACCCCTAAAGTTAAAAAATGGCAAATTTCACACAACCGTTCGAAACTCAGTGGGATTGTGTTGAACATACCTCAATGACGCAATGAAATTTTCCTGTCCTGCCACACCACAGCTTCACAGATTTGTCGAAGGATGCCGATGCTATGTATCGAGTATCTGGTGAGAACATAACCTGAAACCCAGGTTAGAGGCGAGGGCTAGAACGTTCACGGGTCGATGATTAACTTTATCACTACCACTCTAATCACCAATTACCAAAAATATACCTGATTCACAAGCTGTTGATGACCGGTTAACCTTGCAACGGCGCTCTTCGATTCTGATGGATTCCACAAAAACATGGTGAAATCGTCCGAACCACTTACCAGTCTCTCACCACCACACACTTTTATTGCCTCTTCGTATCTTCGCAGAGCAACCTTCTGGCACTGAAAAGCAGATAACCTTACTACATCTAATTACATTAAAATTGAAACCTATAAATGAAAATTTTTATCCACTAGACCAAGAGGAGTATACCGAAGAGAATATGGACGCCTTCAAAAGTACCAACCTCGGCCTCACTTGCCGGTCTGTTACAACCTGTCTTCGGATCGAAGCAGCTTGTTCTCAAAGCATAATCCGTGTTGAGTGCTAATGTGTTGATCCAGTGTGCATGACCAGTGAGATTTCTGCAGATTACCCCATCACTAGCACGCCATACTTTTACGGTGCGGTCCTTAAAAAGTCAAAGATGACATCCTACAGAGGCCAAAACACTATCAACAACAAAAAAGTCCAACAAGGCGCTTTCATAATGGGTCGCCCGATCGTAACGATCGCACAGAACTAGATACGCATCGATCGTGCGATCCAATCGGACCTGTCAAGATGAATGCGAGCGATCTAAGGTATTGTATAATACATATATACCCTTTCAAAAAAAGAAGAGCGTCGGGTGCAGACCATACACCACAAGTGACGACGGCCTCCACAAAATGTAAATGTTTTCTGCCAATGAAATGATTAGCCTGTTGTATGTTGTCACTAATTACAACTATCATTTACCAAAAAATCAGCTATCACTATGAACCACTACTAACCAGATTTACTTGGAGGCCGTCGTCACTTGTGGTGTATGGTCTGCACCCGACACTCTTCTCGTTTTTTGAAAGGGAGGGAACATACATACACTGGAACGCGGGGAATCCCAAGAAAATTAGAATGATGCGTGGAAACCACCTGAGATCCGGAGTAAATCAATCCTTCACCGCCCCATCGTATGCTCGTCACGCAGGCTGTGTGACCTGAAAAAAAATTATGAAGCCCCAATGAAGCATGCCTCTAACCACATTCAGTGAATAGCCTGGTGAAAACATACCACTGAGAGAGCGCTCAACAGTTCCCTGGACGGTATCCCAAATGAGAATATTGCCGTCTTTTCCAGCACTGGCCAGAAACCTGGATGAAACCATTAATAACACTTCTGGCCTGCTCTTACTCGAATTACGATTCATACCTGCAGCTCGGGTCTTTATGCATAGGTTGCCAAGCCAAGTGAGTGATCCACTGTTTGTGTCGGGATAAAGTTTTACCCAATTGCAAGCCAGTAGATGCATCCCAAATCATAATCTGAACACAGATGTCATAAAAACATTTACTGAACTTCCAATCTAGTTCCATTTATCACAACTCTACGCTGCAAGAAAAACCAAACATCAGCCTATTGACTTTTACTTTATTATCTCCAAAACCACATACCTGCCCATTTTTGCAAGCTGAAGCAATCTTCTTAGCGTCTGGGGACCACGCAATGCAGAGAACCCAATTTTTGTGTCCTTTGCAGGTGAAGAGAGGCAATTCCGTGTCTATATCCCATATCCTCACAGTCGTGTCACCTGAGCCACTCGCGAGTCCTCTGAAAAGCAGCCTCAAAATTCAGCTGAAACTTGCTCAAAAAAGAAAAGTGACAAATGACGTAGGATATTTTGCAAATATTCAGTAGAAAATTCCTTTGTAGCTCCATCACTGAGGGACAAAAATCGTGTGAAATGTTCTCCTTTCCATAAAATGTCTGGCTTTTCAAACCGACTTTGCAGACTCACCTTCCGTCAGGACTGAACTGAGCTGATATAACTGGTTCCCCATGACCAGGCATACTCGATGAGCATCTTGTCACCGGTTGAACGCGAAAAACGGCTTGAGGTTGATAAACTAGGCAGAGCGTCTAAAGTACAGTTGTAAGAAAATGTTCAAGGAAAACGGGCAATACATGCAAAACTCGAAAATCACACTCAGAAGTTCTTCGATACAAATGGAAAGAAAGGAGTCCTACTGTCTAGTTGATTGAACTTTAGAACGCTGGAAAACCAACCTTTTCAAAGTCGATTTTTTCCAAGCTTTTCTCAATGCTACCAACGATTTCGACGCCATCTTCTGTGAAGAACGAGATCGGCACCGGATCTTCACTGAACTAACACCATGTTTTTCTTACTACACAATGAAGAAAGAAAGATGTAAATTGTAAGCCACCTGCTTTCTAGTAGCTGATTACATAAAATTTTGAAGTTGATTTGAAGTAACAGATGTAGGCAGAAGAATTCCAGCTCCCACCGAGCTCATCGCCGTTCTCCCCCTTAAATCTGACGGAGACCTGTCCTATGGCTTCGTCTTCCATCTAAAAAGAAAAGAATGATAGTAAGGTCAAAAAAATTAAACATATGTAGCGCGTGAAGGAGGACCAAAATGACCAAGCGAACTTTCGTGATAAGGCTTTTCCGTATGAATGTATGGTTCTTCCCGACAACATAAAAAACCTCATTAAGCACCTAGAGAGAGTTAGTTAGCAAAACTGCTGGGAAATGTACCCTGAACAAAGCACAAAGCACACTGCACTTTTAAAGGACAGTGTGAACCAATGCGACGTTGTGCTCCAATTAGAAAAAAGGAAATATGTTCCCGATTGTGTCTTTTTCACTTCTACCACTGCGAGATTTCCTGCGCGCAAAGCCTACAATGTGAATATATGGTGAAACTCGGATTACTGAACTATCTAAAAAGCAAATGAAGTAAATTAGCTAGAATCCCCAAAAAAGGAGGTAGCTGTTCACAGTGAAGGCTTGTACTATTAGTAATGCAGCAGAGGCCCAATTTCAACTTTGTTTGCAAAAAATTCTGCGTATAAAACTAATATTAGTACAGATATTGCCACTCGAGATCGCCCGCTCGTAAGAACATTAGTTGGAATATGTGTGGGCCGCAATTACATCCAGTGCATTTGGAACAGTTGACCGTACCATAATGGAACGGGCGGTTTGATGCTTGGAGCCGCAGTTAAATGTATTAATATTTTTAGTAGTTGTCATTCCAATTTTTCTTTGCTATTTCCATATCTGTTTGTAAAGGATGAAAAACAGATCCTGTTTCTGTTTGCGATCTTCTGTCGGTCTTTTATTACCGTCTGTGTTTTCTTGATTTTTTCAGCAATGTAAAAACAACTTTCTTATTAAATTCCATTTGTTTAGGGTAAAAATGGCCACCCAAAAGATGAACTTTTTCGAAAAGATGGCTAATATGCTAGGCCATTTATACCGTCATCAGGCCGCCCAGTTCCCTCGTCGCTGGGAAATCCTCAAGGTATTCCTAATATTTTTTTTCAGTACTCGCCACTTATCTTTGAAAGTTTGAGAGTGGAAGCGCTGAACATGCCTGAATTTTGCTGCTTTTATCATTTTCAATTGATTGAAACATCTGATCGCTGTGAAATTTGCCACTTACAGGTGAATCACTGTACCATTGGTGACAGTTCAGAATTACGACACTTAAGAAAACCCTTCATGAAATGAGATTTCAATAAGAAGGCATTGCTATGATATCGACCCTCCAAATTGTGGTTTTGCATTGATAAACTTGCACCTGATCCTTCCTCTTAGTAGTCCTACGGTTGACCCTCCTGAGTGCAGGGAATCGAAATCAAGTAGCACATTCGGATGTAATCTTATACGTTGGTTAGAACCGACGAATACCAAGCTTATAAGTAGAATACGATGTATCATGAAAATTGAGGTGGAATCGGAAGGAAAATAGTGTTGATGGCCTTGAAGCTTGTATGTTCGCGTGATATCGATAATGACCGGAAGACTGGAAGCTTGTGGGATTCTTCTTAACCTTGAATTGTGAGCTGGGATATAGTTCGCTAGGACAGAAAGCGACTTTTTCGCTGTGGGAACCTCAGGTCCACCGCTGATCATGAGTGGACCTGAAGCTCCTGCAACGAAAAATGTTTCGCGCTGCGAAACGCGAAAAAGTCGCTTTCTGTCCTAGTGAACCACACCCTGTGAGCTATACCTGAGGCTGGCTGCGTATACCTGATTTGAAGAGCTCTCTGAACACAGTGGAAGCGGATTGCTTTCACGATTTTCACAATCAGTGCGATGCGATACGGTTTCGTTCAATAAAAGAAGATGTTCGACATGAAATGCCTTGATTGCTCTGCACCAGGATACCCTCTCCCCTTCCCTGACTGGACTGCTTTTGAGCCTCTTCAGTTGCAAAACTTGTACCTTTTCTTCTTTCTTTCTCTTTGTTTTACCATTTCAATCTTTTTTGTTGTTTGCGAATATTACCGTTTGGCGTTTAGGCTGTTGGTAAACATGAGCTTGCGCCACCTAGGACCTCAGATTGGCCTGCTATCAAGGCTGACTGGAAGAAGGTTACACAGTTCATCCAGACAAAGCAGTACAAACAACTAACAGTTCGGGTTGGTCGCTTTTGATCTTCTTGTTTTTTATTGACTTATTTTTTAGAGGTATTTTTGCACGTGAATGTCTGCTCCATTTCCCTTTTTGCTGAACGCTTTACGGCCATACTCCAAGAAACAATTTCAGGAGGCTCTGGTATACACAGCTGTCGGAATGGAGGTTATTTTCTGGTTCTTTGTAGGTGAAATGATCGGACGTCGGTATATCCCTGGTTATTTGGTGAGTTCATTTCTATCTGTTCTTGTTGTTGAAAGAAAAACGTATAAGGACTGTAACTATGTTTTCTTCAGGTGCCACCCGACTACGTTTCTAAAGAGACACGTAAGAAAGCTAAGGCGCTAGAAGCAGAGAAGAAGGAAAAGGCTCTTCACTGAGCTTAGCAGTAGCTTAGAGTTAACGTATGTACAATTGTTCGAAATTTGGATAAATTTGAGAACGAATCAGTCTAATTTGAAAATTTCATAGTTTAGCGTAAGCTTCTTTCCAATTTCACATTCTATGTGGAAAAAAAGTTATTATAAATTTTTATA